AATATAAATCTGCAAATATTCGCATAACTTTAAAAAAAAAAAAAATTTTAACTGAAAATTTTTATTTAAGTATTTAATAATGTATTCGTGTTAAATTCAATTTGTAGATGGGTCGTACTCTTTTTGCTTGCCAAAGCAAAAAGAAACAGACCTAACAGGTGAATATTAACCTAACCTTTAACAGACCTCTGATTTTTATTTCAACTGTGCAAAATCTCGAATTTTACGCGTTTGAAAGTCTAGCATCGCTCTGCCTTTTAATTTATTATATATGTGTGCGTGTGCGTGTATGATAAGAGTAAAAATACCGAAGGTTCAGATAATTCTAAATCTAATATTATACTTACTAATTTGGTTTCCAAGCGAGACAGAAGTAATAACTCTGATTCTGATATCCAGGAATACACATTAGATCGCAACGTAGACCAAGTCTTCTAGCCACACTGTGATATATTATTAATAAAATTAATTCTTGGCCATATTTATTTTTTAAGACCTATGCCAGAAATTATAATACAAAAATTAATTAGAGCGAAAATATTATTTTTAAGATATAACAAACATATAGCCATGCTCACAGCATATATAATTGCAAGATCAAACGAGTGGTCTATTATAAAATTTGAAAAAAAGTTTGAGATCCAGGGGCCCATCCAGCACTTCGTCTAATAGTGTCAATATCCACTCCTCTTTTATGAGCCGTGGATACTGCCGCATGTCTAGTACTGTATGCTGTAAACTGTCTAATATCGATGCTAGCCTTGCCCAGAAGTGTCTTAATCCAATGACCAATGGTTTGTGCGGATACTGCTCCAAATGGTTTCATAGTAGCAATTAATAATTTTTTTGTATTTTGGCTTCGTAAATCTTTTGTAAAATTAATGTAATCTAATACTGTCGATGCCACACATAAGCCTGGTTTGTCTTTGTAAAAAGGTAATATTAATTCGGGTTGAAAACCCCCTGGCTTAGATGTTTTGATCTGTTTCGTAATCTTTATACTTATACCGGAATTAGATATCGAAATATTTTCAATGTTTATCAACGCTAAAGTTTGTAATCTTTGAGCTGTTGTTAACGCTAAGAGTGTGACTACTTTTTCAGCGGCGTCTTTTAATTTCAATTGTTTAAGAGGATGAAGTTTTTCAATGTAATTTAGAACCGGTGTAATATCCCAAGTTGTGTTGTACTTAGGCTTAGTTGGTTTTTGTTTAAACACACCTTTTAGGAACCGTGAGATCAAACCATCATTGTTTATATCGTATACTGTAATTAAAGAAATAGTCGCTCGAGCAGTATTTAACGTACTATACTTTGCACCTTTTTTATATCTGCTATTAAGAAACTCAATAATGTCCGAAGTATTTGAGTTGAAAATATCCAATCTTTTAGTATGTGCATAATCCCACCAACATTTCAAGTTACACTCGTATTGTTTAAGAGTCGACTTTGTAATGGAATCGATCATCACATCCACAGAATCTTCACTGATTCCTTTCCTCAAGAATGCTGTCCTGATAATTTGCCTGCCACCAATGAAAGGTGGAGGACTAATGGATGGATCTTGTCTCTATAAGGAGATATTAATAAGGAATCACTTGGATTGAATGTGATAATAGGTTCAGCAAGAAGCGATGTAAAAAGAGGGTACCAGGGTTGGGTAGGCCATAATGGTACTATAAGTACCCCTACCGCTTTGTCATTAATGATTTTTCTTAAAGTACGAAGGATAAGTGCGAAGGGAGGAAAAGCATAGAAGAATTCATTCTTCCAAGATCTAGTGAAAGCATCCACTGACTCTGCTTCGGGGTCAGGAAAACGAGAGTAAAATTTATTACACTTTCTATTCAATCTAGTTGCAAATAGATCTATTGAAAAAACTCAAATCTCTTTTCAATCTGTTCGAAAATTAATGGGGAAAGTTACCATTCAGTATCGACGTTAGTATTGTGTGATGCTCTGTCTGCTTATACATTCTCTGCTGAACTAATGTATGATGCTCTCAGCCAAATTTTCCTCTCTTCGCACCATTTCCAAATTTCCCGGGCAAGTTCACTAAGATGTGGAAATTGAACACCTCTGCCCTATTCACGTATGATATAGCTGTAGTATTGTCCAGACGAAGAAGTACTTCGCTCTGGGATAGATTTGAGGCAAAGCATTTCAATGCGAAAAAGGCAGCAAGTAACTCAAGATAATTTATATGTCTTTTCTTTTCTTCCTCATTCCAAAAACCAAATGTACTTATATCATTACAGTAACAGCCCCAACCTGATAATGAAGAATCAGAATATATTTCCATAGAGAATTTTTGGTTTCTTATTGGATTCGATCCAATTGTTGCATTTGTTTTCCACCAGTTAAGATCCTCTATCATACATTCTTTTATATAGATCTTTCCTTCATAATTACCACCATTGAATTTTAAAGCTAAAAATTTTTGTCTCTCAAGTCTTTTGCAATGTATAAAGCCGTAAGCTACTGCTGGACAAGCTGCCGTTAAAATTCCTAGAAATTTTGCAAATTTTCTAATTCTATAGCTATTTCCTTTCTTAAATTCATTTGCAAATTCTATTATCTGATTTTTCTTTTTATCAGTTAAATTTAAGGTGAAATCCACTGAATTGATGATAAAACCCAGATATTTACATTTCTGGCTAGCAACCAATAAACTTTTTTCATAATTTATTATGAATCCTAAACCTTGCAGAAAATTAATAGATTTGATGTTTATTATTTCACATAGCTTTTTTGAATTATGAATAAAAGAAAATCGTCCAAATGTAATACTAGTAACATTCCTTCTAATCTCAGTTTATTAACTATGGGTTTCATTATTTTAGTAAAAATATATGGACTGGTACATGATCCAAACGGAAGGCACGAAAATTGAAAAAGTTTTCCCTTAAATTCAAACCTAAGAAACTTTTTATGTTTTTTATAAATAGGTACTACAAAGTAGGCATCTTTTAAGTCCAAGAAGCACATGAAATCTCCTGGAGATATTAGGCCCAGAGCTGATCTGATATCTTCTAATTTGAAATGTGGAGGTTTAATGAATTTATTTAATTCTTTTAAGTTAAAAATAAACCGGTTAGACCCATCAGGCTTTGGAATGAGGAAGTAGGAAGAAAGAAATTGACCTTCACAATATTCACACTGCTCAATAGCACCCTTCCGTAATAATTTGTCAATTTCTACTTGAATTTGCTTTATTTCTTCCATAGAAAGTACTTTCTCTTTCGGTGAAATTTTTTGAAAGGGTCTTTCAATAAAAGGGATTCGATATCCTTCTAAATAGCTTAACACATATTTATCTGACGTGATTTCTCTCCAACTATCTACGAAAAAGCGTAGACGTCCTGCCGTTTTATCTACCTGGCTTATTTCTTAGATGATGATTGGCTTGTCGTCTGAGAGTTCGTCTTGGATGAACTCTGTGTCGAATTTTGGGAGACTCTCCTCTTGAATCTGAATTGTCGACGTTTTTGTTGATAACCCACTTGCCGATAATTCGCAGGTGGGTACTTCGGGTTTCCCCGATTCGATTTTGACAAATATTTCTGTTGGACTTTATTCTTAATTTTCCACTGACTGTTGATGGAAGACATCTGTCAGAATCTGACCAGCATGACTCAAATAGTCTGTGAAAATATCTTCATCCAGACCTTCTCCTGGGGGATCTATGAGCATAGAAATTGCAGCGCCTAGGGCAGTTAAAGCTGTGCCAACGCAGTTCTGCGTCTCCAAAAAATGTTGGTCTCTCTTTTTTGCAATCTCTGAGAGGAGTGGGACAATTTCTAAATTCATTTTAGGTGTTTCTGTGTACAGCTCTCCTTTACGATTGTAAAGTTCCATAATTTCTTTTTTGTTTTTCTCTGGGAGACCTTCTTTTATCCACTTTGACCATGTATTTTTCAATTCTGGACGATACTTAACCTCTTTGAATTTAGATTCATTTAAGTCCACTCCCAATACTTTCAAGACATTATCCTTTAATGACGACTCCTCATAAATATCCTTCGTCGATTGATTCTGCTGGATACATCTATCGATTACCTCAGTATTTGAGTCTTTTTTCGAATTTGGGTTATTTTCCTTATTCTCCTCGACGTCTGTAGTAGATAAAGACAGAAGAGAGGAGTTAATTGGGTAACACTTATTGTGTGCATTGTGAAAAGTCAGTTCTTATTGAACTAATTCACAAAAATATCCTGTCAGCGTCATGTGGACGCTGACTCTCAATATTCGTGTGGAATGATTGAGACTTAACCTTTCTACTGAGATTTCGCTCGTATGGAGCTTTACTTACCAAATATCTCAGTATCATCAGTCTCGATTTCTGTAGACTGATTTGCTGGTTTCTGTTCTTTTTGAACGTGAACCAGCACCTCAACGACCTTTGTCAGGTTATCCAACTGTTTCTGCATATCATTGAATTTCTTCTCTCGGATATGCTTATGTCGATGATCATCTTTAGACCGTGATCTTGACCGTTTTCTCTTATGTTCTGGCATTGTAAAATGATAGTACAATGGAAATTTTTATGAATTTTTTGAGGACTACCAAAAAAAACGTATCGATGTTTCGGCACAACAAAACAATATAAAAGCGGAGAGGATTCATCCTAGAGATAACATGGCGGAGACGCCAATTTTTCAAATTTACTAGGAGCTAAACGCTGTGATGTTGGTCAAGATCACGGTCTAAAGATGATCATCGACATAAGCATATCCGAGAGAAGAAATTCAATGATATGCAGAAACAATTGGATAACCTAACAAAGGTCGTTGAGGCGCTGGTTCACGTTCAAAAAGAACAGAAACCAGCAAATCAGTCTACAGAAATCGAGACTGATGATACTGAGATATTTGGTAAGTAAAGCTCCATACGAGCGAAATCTCAGTAGAAAGGTTAAGTCTCAATCATTCCACACGAATATTGAGAGTCAGCGTCCACATGACGCTGACAGGATATTTTTGTGAATTAGTTCAATAAGAACTGACTTTTCACAATGCACACAATAAGTGTTACCCAATTAACTCCTCTCTTCTGTCTTTATCTACTACAGACGTCGAGGAGAATAAGGAAAATAACCCAAATTCGAAAAAAGACTCAAATACTGAGGTAATCGATAGATGTATCCAGCAGAATCAATCGACGGAGGATATTTATGAGGAGTCGACATTAAAAGATAATGTCTTGAAAGTATTGGGAGTGGACTTAAATGAATCTAAATTCAAAGAGGTTAAGTATCGTCCAGAATTGAAAAATCATGGTCAAAGTGGATAAAAGAAGGTCTCCCAGAGAAAAACAAAAAAGAAATTATGGAACTTTACAATCGTAAAAGAGAGCTATATACAGAAGCACCTAAAATGAATTTAGAAATTGTCCCACTCCTCTCACAAGTAACACTACCCAACTGATACTCACCGATTTGAATGAAACTTAACATACTTGTTAAACACCGAAAAACATTAAATACGTGTTTTTTTGTTTCGGCTAAACACGATTTTTAGGGGTAGAAAGCACCCCTCAACCCCTGGAGGTGGAAACAGTTATGGCTAATTATTTCTGAAACGATACATTTTCTGAAAAAAGTGCTTAGGACCAAAGTTGTAGAGTTCAAAGTGATGCACTTGATGGCGACCTTGAAGTCGACCTTGAGGTCGATTTTCAAGGTCATTTGAAAATCATTTCATGTTTTTCAAAGGGAGTAGTTTACTTTTCATCCCGAGAATCGATAGAGCGTAAAATTTTACATTCAGAACGTTGGTGATTTGTAAATAAAACAAGCCTCTGCAATTTAAAATTGTTCATTGATCCAACCAATTAAGGCAAGATCAGTCAATAATTCGATCAATAAAGGAATTAAAAGTTAATTATTCATTCAAATAAGGCAAGATGTGATCGAGATCCAGCCAGTGAAGGCAAGATGTGAGCGAAATCCAGCCAGTAAAGGCAAGATATGGTCGAGATCCAGCCAGTAAAGGCAAGATATGGTCGAGATCCAGCCAGTAAAGGCAAGATATGGTCGAGATCCAGCCAGTAAAGGCAAGATATGGTCGAGATCCAGCCAGTAAAGGCAAGATATGGTCGAGATCCAGCCAGTAAAGGCAAGATATGGTCGAGATCCAGCCAGTAAAGGCAAGATATGGTCGAGATCCAGCCAGTAAAGGCAAGATATGGTCGAGATCCAGCCAGTAAAGGCAAGATATGGTCGAGATCCAGCCAGTAAAGGCAAGATATGGTCGAGATCCAGCCAGTAAAGGCAAGATATGGTCGAGATCCAGCCAGTAAAGGCAAGATATGGTCGAGATCCAGCCAGTAAAGGCAAGATATGGTCGAGATCCAGCCAGTAAAGGCAAGATATGGTAAATAAAACAAGCCACTGCAATTTAAAATTATTGATTGATCCAACCAATTAAGGCAAGATCAGTCAATAATTCGATCAATAAAGGAATTAAAAGTTAATTATTCATTCAAATAAGGCAAGATGTGATCGAGATCCAGCCAGTGAAGGCAAGATTTCATAATTTCTTTTCATAGTCTATGAGTATAAATTCCATGATAATTGGCATTATTCTTTATATTCATGGCAATAATGAGGAATAACTTTATCTTCTATCGCAAAAAAATGCTCCGTACACAGAGAGTTAGTACACCACGCACATTTTATTACTGCAATGTTATTGCAGATTTTGCAGACTGTACCGCAATTTTTTAAACAGAAATCAACAGGCGTTTCACATCTATCTGGATTTTCTTCAATATATCCACTTTTCCACCAGGCATATTTAATCATGTTTTGGAATCGGGATGATGAGAATTGATTGTGGATTAATGATTGAATTTTGAGAATGTTATTCCTCAAATGTAGGTTAATATCATAGTTGTATAAGAGAATTAAGTCCAAAAATTGTTTCAGGAAGTTTTTCCACGGTCTGAATACGTGGACATCCAATGGTTGAGTAAAGCCAGTTGTTCCCGCAGGAATTGTAAGGATTTTTACTTCTTTATTACCCTTGTCTATATGAAGGTATATTCGAACGAAATTCACGAGCAAGATAGCTCATAGCAAATAACTGATCAAGAAGTAATTTTGGAAAATGCTTGCTCAACGACAGTCGGGAAAAAATAATTGATCATATGTCCGAATGAAATCCTAATACAAAATAAAGAGTAAAAAATATTGTGGATAACTCCAGAGTAGCAATAAAAATTTTTAAAAATTTTAAAATTTCTAATATAGCATGAGGATAATGTTTAACTTATCATTAGAGTGACATTTTATGTTTTCTTATCTTTACTTCTATTCTGAAGTTACTTACAAAACTTTTTTCTCCTTCTTATTTTTCTATTTTGCGCCTATTTTCCCATTACGTCAGGTTTTTTCTTTTTTTAGAAAAATAACGCAACAAATCAATTCTGAAGACAGATTTAGAGTCAACGCATAAAATTACTGATTATAGATACAGGATGTGGTCAAAGTCCGGCAACGGCTAATTATTTCCAAATTTAATTGACCTTGAAAATCGACCTCAAGGTCGACTTCAAGGTCGCCATCAAGTGCATCATTTTGAACTCTACAACTTTGGTCCTAAACACTTTTTTCAGAAAATGTATCGTTTCAGAAATAATTAGCCATAACTGTTTCCACCTCTAGGGGTTGAGGGGTGCTTTCTACCCCTAAAAATCGTGTTTAGCCGAAACAAAAAAACACGTATTTAATGTTTTTCGGTGTTTAATAAGTATGTTAAGTTTCATTCAAATCGGTGAGTATCAGTTGGGTAGTGTTACTTGTCAGAGATTGCAAAAAAGAGAGACCAACATTTTTGGAGACGCAGAACTGCGTTGGCACAGCTTTAACTGCCCTAGGCGCTGCAGTTTCCATGCTCATAGATCCCCCAGAAGAAGGTCTGGATGAAGATATTTTCACAGATTATTTGAGCCATGCTGGTCAGAGTCTGACAGATGTCTTCCATCAACAGTCATTGGCTCGGAAATCGTTTGTCACTCCACAACTCAATAAAAATATTAAACAAACCGTGGATGCGATGATTTCTGATAAGTGGCTTTATGGCAATAATCTCAAGGAAAAAGTCAAAGACGCAAAAGAGATCGAAAAGGCTTGCGCAGAAATTAAGAATAAAGTCCAACAGAAATATTCGTCAAAATCGAATCGGGGAAACTCGAAGTATCCACCTGCGAATTATCGGCAGGTGGGTTATCAACAAAAACGATATTAAACAGTTTACAAAATTTCATAAAAGAAATTATTACGAATTATCACAATCTCTAAAACACTACAATACTATTGTGGGCAGTATAGAGGCGTGTTCGCTTTCGAAAGATGGCGCGAGGGATAGGTAAAGCGTAAAGAGGTGAAGTCAATCACGAGACCTCTTTTCTAAGGGTAACAATAAAATATATTTACAGTCTCTATGTACAAGTTACAATTATTTAATTTGTGGTGGCCCTGAAAAGGGCCGTTTATGGGTTAACGCTGAGAGCGTTCCCGCCAAGTGATACGAGGCTCGGTGGTGGTTATTCGGAGGGAACCGATGTATGGTAGCGCGGGCGAGGGTACGCGTCGAAGTGCCGGTGGAGTCCCGGGTGGCGTGTAGCTGCGTTCCTCGCAGGCTGTCTCCGTCTGCGTGGCCGTGTCACATGTGCTGGCTTCCCAATCGCTGTCCGATTGAGTGGAGTTGTCAGTCTGCGTCAGTGGTTGGTACTGCGTACCCCTGTGTACTCGTATGGCCGGCTGCGATTGCGTCCCGCAATCTCGGTGACGGATCGGCGAGGCTGCGAGTGGTGACAGCAGCGGCGGTAGACTCCACGGTGTTGAGGGAGATGTATATCGCCGTATCCGGATGTCCCACGGGCTTAAGAGAAAGCGTGGTGGTCTGGTGTATTGTACCGGAGCCAGGTCGATCTGGTGGAGCCGCCACTCCCTGAAGGTGGTGCAAGTTCTGTCACCTGTAGACCCTGGTGCCTTCTCGGTCTCGATGGATGGCTGCCAGCTAGTCCCGGGTGATGTGGGAGGCAGCCGCGGTCGAGGAAGGCTGACGTCCCCTGGTAAGATAGGAGGCAGCGTAGGCTGTTACAAAAGAATTCGTCGAGCTCATCTGACTACTGGGTAGGAGGTCCTTCCCTGACTCAGAGCGGGCCGCGAATCAAAGTCTTCTCGCCGTGCGCCGTCTTATAAACCCCACTCACTGGATTTCACTTGCTGGCGCCGACTCCCGCTCGTGGCCGCCTCACGGCAAGCCTTCGTGGCTCGCGCGGCGCTCGCGCGCGGGTTTCACGTGCTACACGCGTGAGAATTCGTTCGCGCGTCTACCGGGTAGTTCGCGCGTAATTGTGGTGGTTTCTCGAACCGCCACACTATCATCGAGAACGAGACGTGCAATATAATTGCAAGATTAAACGAGCCCACCGAAGGCGGGCGAAGTTTGATCGAAATTATATGAAAAGTCTCGTTCGAAGATGATAGTCTCCCACCCTTAAAATACCCAAAATAAATATATACTATCCCTATAATCTTCAAAATTATATTGTGATAATTCTAAGTTCGTTACAAAAAAACAATATGAAAGCGGAGAGGATTCATCCTAGAGATAACATGGCGGGTACGCCAATTTTTCAAATTTACTAGGAGCTAAACGTTGTGATGATGAGCATGACAAGCATGACTACAATACTATCATCTTCGAACGAGACTTTTCATATAATTTCGATCAAACTTCGCCCGCCTTCGGTGGGCTCGTTTGATCTTGCAATTATATATGCTGTGAACATGGCTATATGTTAGTTATATCTTAAAAATAATATTTTTGCTCTAATTAATTTTTGTATTATAATTTCTGGCATAGGTCTTAAAAAATAAATATGGCCAAGAATTAATTTTATTAATAATATATCACAGCGTGGCTAGAAGACTTGGTCTACGTTGCGATCTAATATGCATTCCTGGATATCAGAATCAGAGTTATTACTTCTGTCTCGCTTGGAAACCAAATTAGTAAGTATAATATTAGATTTAGAATTATCTGAACCTTCGGTATTTTTACTCTTATCATACACGCACACGCACACATATATAATTTTTTATTGTTCACAGCGCCACGAATAGTTCAGAAAATATAAGATGTTTTAATATAAGTTTTAAGAAATTCCCGGATTGTCTTGTCAACCAAGCGTTGTATTTTAGCAATCTTATTAGGACACTTTCATCTGAAGATTTTGATGAATCGCAAATTATGAATCTAATGATGAAAGCAACTGGAAAGGTTGGCAATTACATGATTTCTATTAATTTTAACATTAATTGATAAACTTGTAATTTTGGCAAAGATATGAGTTAGTAAAACATGTTTCATAGGCAAAAAGAATTATACAATCTCTCATTTGTTCATTTGTAATCAAAGCTCTGTTCAATCTTTTCTCTGTTTAATCTTTGCTCATGTTTAATCCTTTTTTGCTTCCTCATAGAGGAAGCTTTGTTTTCGTGACAAAATTTTTTTCGAGTTTTCTATGCCAATGTGTTTAGAATGTTCCAAAACGTCGAAAAATTATATTTCTAAAAAATGTATGTATGTATGTATGTATATAAGTGCGTATGTGTGTATGTATGTATGTACGCAATATATTGTACAACCTCTAACTTCCGCAATTTTTGAGATATCGGGTTAAATTTTTTTACATGGATAGAGTATTATTGAAGGATGGTTGGTATTGAATTTGGTGAGAATCGATGAAAAGGTTCATTTTTTATAAAATTTTGAATTTTTTGAGAAATGTCTGTACACGCTGTAATTTTCGGAAAATTTTAGATATCGGATTAAATTTTTTTACATGAATAAAGTATTATTAAAGGATGGTTACTACTGAATTTGGTAAGTATCGGTAAAGGGTTCATTTTTTATAAAATTTTGATTTTTTTGAGAAATGTCTGTACAAGCTGTAACAAATTGAAAAATCCGCATGCTTAAAGCTTAAGCTTTGTAAGATAAAATGATGAGGAAACAATGTGCAAGTTTCTAATTTGCACAACTCTACTTGTTTCAGTTTTGGGAAATACTCATGTTGATCCCAGTGATGAATTATGAACAATATAATCGCGCTTTTAGGATTATGCCGGATGGAACAATTGAATGGACTGGATACGACAGTATAAGTGTGGTATGTTAGCGCACTATACATGTGGCATATATTAATATAAAACATAATAATAGAAACAAATTTTTGAAATTTCCTGATAACACATGCACAATTACGTACAAATTATTATTGTAACAATGCATCCCCTATTGTTGCCCGGCAGTTGACCGCCGGAAGTCTGCCACCCGGCGAACATCGGCCGGGCAGGGGCAGAGGCCCTAGCACCCATTTTAATATTTGTTATATCCGAACACGAGATATCGGAGATACCGTACAGCCGGCGAGTTTAGGTTTAGAATCAGTACTTAACGTAACGTAATGCATTACGGAAAAGCTTGTGCGGTGGCCCTTATACGGCCGTCGTTACGGGTTACGGCCCGAATCCCGAGAACCGCCGAGCGCCTCCGGAAAACACCGAGCGCTCCACCGCCAAAACGCCGCGTCGTTTTCCCGCCGCAGGACAGCGGCGCGTTAACCGCTAATTACCAAATCCGAAAACAACGCGTCGTTACCCCCACCAGAATAAGCGACGCGGTTACCGTTAGGTTCTTGGTATAAAAAGACCGCCGAAATCCATCTCGGCATCAGACCGGTACCTGAAGCCTCTTGAGCAGTACGTTCGAGATACTCCGCTAGATCCGATCCTTTTATTTCGTAGCATCGACGGAACGTGAGGTTGACGAGTTCGTAGCCTCCGCCGAGCATTCTCGGTTTCCGCGCCGTCTCCGAATCATCGCCAACCTCCGACCGACTCAACGAGAGTGGAGTCTATCCGACCGCTCCAGCCAGACGGACCGTGAGTTTGCGGGTACGCTGCCCCGTCGAGATTTCTCGACTCCGACCAGCTATCCTCAACTCCGCGTACGGAATAGGGACGGAGAGTTCGCCGCCCGATCGAGAATACTCGACTCCCGACTCGCCTCCCCGCACATCTAGGAATACGCGACTAAGCATACTTGATCACGCTGCATCGATAGCCCACGGTTTTATCGTCCACGCATAATAAACACGGCCTTGCCGTATCCATGCCGATTAGCCGCGCCCCGTTTCTTGCGCGTCTCGCACGCCGTCATAATAAACACAGCCTTGCCGTACGCCGACGACGTCCGATTTTAATACGATTTCGATACATCGAATATAACGCACCGAATAACTATCGCGCTTGCATTACCACTCGCGCTCTATCACCCGTCGCGAACCCGCTCCGCGGGATTTAACACGATCTGTAAATTGACCATTGCCGAAAGAGGCAAAATAAACTGACTAAATTACATTAAACGTCTACCGTGTGTCTCACCCTTTCACGAGCCCTGATCATGACCGAACTATCCGACCTCGCAAAAGCGACCGTGTTACATTATTGTCTATAATTTAACTAACTGTAATATAACTTATTACAAAAGTCTATTTAGAAATTATTCGATAAGAAATATCAATTAAAATCTGTGTGATCTTACACTTTCCAGCTCCGCCCACGCGTTAAAGAAACAGAGCTGCTACACACAAGACCAGAGGACATAAAATTTGCGGTTGGAATGATAGTAACACATCAACCTACAGATTGTGCCGGCGTAATAGTAGGATGGTACCGACATCTTGACAGACATCTTGTTACGATCTCCGCAAACAGTGTGCCGTGCTCTTATATGCACATATATGAATTACCGTTGAATCACTGTAATAATTGTAATTTTATAAAGCAACAAACAAATTACATAATTCTTACCGAAAATAATAAAATATGTTACGTGGAAGAAAGTATGAATATCGCAAATTAGACGCGTTTTTATTTAAAATTATATTTGTTTATTCTACAAGCTTATCTCTTTTTTTGTACACAAAATCAAACAAATTACATAATTCTTACCGAAAATAATAAAATATGTTACGTGGAAGAAGGTATGAATATCGCGAATTAGACGCGTTTTTATTTAAAATTATATTTGTTTATTCTACAAGCTTATTTCTTTTTTTGTACACAAAATAAAATAATATTTTATTTTATTTTGATTGATTTTGTTCTCTTTTTAATTTAGTTATTTTATTTATTTCAGTTATTATTTTATTTATTATCTTATATATTTCG